AACTATTATGATGAAATCTAAGGTCTGCTTATTTAAAGGATGAGTTGACTCGTGTGCAAATGATACCTTTTTTATATTATATAAAATAGTGGGCGAGAAATTTCAAGTGTTGATCGAAGTGTATGGGTTTTGGGCAGAGATGAGTAAAGAGATTGCTAACGCCAATGCTTCGATGCGAGACGAATTTTTGGCACCGATCGGAGCGCCCCGCCGCGGTCAGCCGTCAAACTGGGAGCACATCTTACAACTCGTATCAAACAGCGTGAGCCTACAAAAAGAGGAGTGAGTTTGCGTGGAAATGATCATATAGGCGCACATTTTGGAGAGACGTGGAAGGGGCATATTGAATGTGTCTACGAGGAGAGGAGTAAAAATGTTGACTATAGCTATATATCTGAGCTTACAGCCAAACCAAGCGACGACACGAATTTCTCTCTTTTAACTGCAACCGAGTAAATTGCATGTACATTGAACTCATTTTTGCTCTCACTCTTGTTTCTTTTTTCCCTTTTTTTAATACTTATTTTAAAATTTAGTATTATTTTGAAAAAAAAATTCAGCTATTTTTTTAAGGATGGCAGTTCAGTTTTAATCCCTTATTTATTATTTTTTTTATAAATTTTATGAACTGTACGATAAGCTACCGAGGTTATTAATAAACTTAAGGGGCTTTCAGATGCCCAAGGATTGAAGTTTCGGTAGCTAAGTTGGATGATGCATAAGCCGCCACTTGAATTGTTTTGCTATCACGGGATCGATTCCAGCTTTTTGTAGATTTTTTTTTTAATGCAGTTCATCGTTCTGGTTACATTTACTTTACTTATGTTGTATTTTAATTGATAATTGATGTTGTCAACTTTTTTTTTTGTGATACGTTGAAATAAATAAATTTTCTATACTAAATCTATTCAATAATTTATTTCTATATATGACTGATTTGTTGCAGTTCTGACTGTTTTGATGTATTAGCTTGCTGTTTGATTTATAACTATTCTATTTTGTTGTTAATTTGCTCTTCTGGTATAGTTGATATTTTCTCTAAGAAAGTTTCTTCTCTTCTCTTGATGGTTTTTTAAGTTTTCTTATATCATAATAATTGACAACAAAACTTATATTTGACAGTCTTTATACACTTCATTTTGCTTTTTACTACGTAAGTTACTTTTTACCTATTACATTTACTAATTAAATTTTTATTAGTATGTCCTGAGATTAAATATGCTCTGTCAGTTAGACAAAAAAAAAAAATTATTCTCATAACCCCACTGAAAGTGTGACTTTGTTTCCTGTTTTTAGGGATTAACGAGCAACATTTATAAGGGTATACAAATGTACTGCTTGAATTTTCTAAATATAATTTTATCGCAAAGGATGCCAAAATGAGTTTCCTAATAAGCAAAAAGTGTAATGTTTACCTGAAAAGTTGTGTTGCATCTTTGCCTCTAACATCCTACCTTTTCTTGGTGCATACTATACTATTCTGTTGTTTTTGCATAATGCTTTTATTTTTAAAAATGGCGTAAGCGTATAACCAACGCCAATAACCATTATAAAAAGATTTTAAGCATAAAGATGTTGACTTGTGAAGACCTTTATTTTAATAGCGAACTATAAACAGATGCATAGTCAAAAGTTGGAAACGTCGTAGTAATACAACGTCAAATTTTAAGGAAAAATAATAATAATAGTAATACTAATAACAATGACGATAATAATTTTTTCTTTTGAGAAAAATTTTTTACAATGTAGACTTTCAAAATTTTGCTGGTTATAAGTGTATGCATGTGAGTGTATGCAGGTAAGCATATATATCTGCCTGTAAGGCGTGAGAACGCTATTTACAATAAAACTTTTGTTTGGATTATTGAAAGTAGTCTTTTATCAAAACTTTCCTTGTGAGGTAGTATAAGATGGTTAAAACTTTCCTAATGATTTCTTACACATTTTGATATTTTTTCTACAACTTTTTGGCATGTGTTATTTCTATAATAGTACTTACAAATAATTATAGAGGTATCTTATAAGAAAACGTGGTAACTCCGCTCATTTTATTGTGATATCATTTAGTCTTAATAATCAAGTGTATTAAAAAAAGTATTATAAGTTAACTTTAACCCAAACAGCACTTGAGTTTATTGTTTCTGCTGTAAAAACAAAGCGCAACTCTCGTCATTCTCATATAATCGCGACAGGGCGTCAGGCACGCAGTTTTGCCCGTTTATGACCTCCTGGATCTCATTCAATACAGGGTAGCACTTCTGCTTAATGGGCCGTGAGGGTATGACCTCGATCTTGTGCTCAACCCAAGTAGTGCACTCTAGGGGAGCTTCACGCTCCACGTAGCAGTCTAGGAGGGTCTGTAACTCCTCTTACTGCTTCAGCGAGACTTCGCTCAGCCCTGGTGGCAAGCTGGATCTTGCCCATCGCTGACAGTCCTGCTACTTTTAGGGGAACCTTGGTCCCTTGTCCTTTTAGCATTAAGACTCTATCGACAGGATCATGCACGGTCCCGAAACCGTTGATGAAGTTAGTGCCAACGTAGCAATCAGCGTCTAACTCGGAGTCTAAATCAGAGTGACGGTCGTCCATCGTCCATCACTGCGCTTCCCATCGTGGGACGTAGTTGCTGACCACAGGAGTTGGCTTGCTAAAGTTTTTAAGCAACAACTCATAAGCTTTTTTTTCTACTGTGAGTTTTTTAAAATCAACAATTTTTTCTAATTCTTTTATAATGATATTGGTTGATTTCGTATTCTTTTTCAAAATTTTAAGTTAAAGAAGCACTAAAAGAAATCTCAGTGTAAGACAACCATTCTGTAAAAAGTACGTTCTAAGTACATGTACTAAGAGTATTTACTTGGTCACTCTATTGTACGAAACCAAACAACTGATGAAGACTGACACTTAGAAAAGATCGTGTACCTACAGAGACGTTAGCTATTTTACAAGTACTTTTATAACTTATACTTAATTTTAATCTGAAAGTATACTTGAAAAAGAAAAAAATTTTCTTTAATGTATTTGATAAAAACTTTGGTATAAAACGCTTTTTATCTCTAAAATGGGCCAAATAGACATAAGTTTTAGAAACTAACTCAGAACATACATCATTCGTAAATTCAGGAATAAAGTAAGTAGTGAGCGAGTGTTTACCTTTCTAGTGCTAGACGTTCACAGTAATTGAACGATAATATTAAAAAACAATATCATTAATATCATTAACTTAAACTATATGCACAAATGAGAAAACCTTGAGGGTATGACAAATGTGCTTTAATATTTTCAATAGTTAATGTCAGGACATGAGGTGTTTCTATTTTGTTGCTTTGCATAAAAATTTGATGTTTATGAAAAAAATCTTCTTAGCATCTTTGAAATGTCAGAAAGCAAACCAAATAATCACATGAAAGATAAAGTTTTTTTTACCATGTTTGTAATTTAATATTAATAAGATTATTATGTACTGCCAGTAACAGTGACATATTTTAAATTCATTCTTTGGTCAGTAACATTTCAATTTTAGGGGAAAAGTTATAACATTGAGAAGAAACACTAGAAACGTAGTCCTAATATAGTTCTCACTTGAACTTTAGTAAAATATAACTTGTAAAGGATCTGTCAGTAAAAACATGTGTATAATTCTAACATCTAGCAGTTGTAGAATTTTTTATTTCAAATTATAGTTTGATAGCCAATTCAACNTAAATAGACATATAGACACTTGAAGATAAAGTATATTTTATAAAAGTTTTTTATGAGATATTAAACAAAAAATCAGTTGTAATTACTCTTACGTGGCGTATTCATTACATACGTCATATTCAGTGTAATATGTTTCTTGGTTTATCAACATCCCCGAATATTTCGCCTAATTTTTGTGCACCCACACCTCCGTGATACTTAGTTTTATCTGTCGCTTACCTTATCATATATAGTCTTTAGCGTTTACGTACGTACATTCTATGATGGTACTTTTAAATAGGAAAAAAAAAATTTTTATCTAATAATTATTTTTGTACATTTATAATGATTCGACATCTATTTTTTAAATTGCCTTGAGCATATATATATATATATCCAAGAAAAGAACTGTTCCAAAAACTTGGTAGTGTAAAAAAACTTTATTGTACTATTGGGAATATGCCTGCACCACGTGACATGGTGATATATATATGACAATTAGAAGAAAAGTAGTACAGGCCTTATATAAGAAATAAAGTTTTTATTGTTTTTGGTGGTAAAGAAAGTGTTGAGTACAAAAAATTATTGGATTACATATTTCTAACATTATAAGAGTTAGGTTGTTATTTTTTTTATACGATGAAATCGTTTATTAAGGCCTAAACAGCATTTTGAAGGTACGAAGTATAGCTAACCCTACATTGAGCTGCTCGTTTCTGCTGCTGCTGCTGTTGCTGTTGCTGTTGCACCTGCTCAGAGGTAAACAAGCAGCTGGATGTTACGTTTAACTGTACCTCGTACCTTTAATAAGATGTTTTTGGCCTTAATAAAGGATTTAATCATAAAAAAAAAGCCTAACTCTTATAATGTTAAAAGTATGTACTCTGGAAACTTTTTGTGTTTAACAACTTTTCCACCACGAAAAAAAAACTCCCATAAGATCTGTACTACTTTTCCTTTATTTGTCATAAATATATCGCCATATCACATGGTACAGGCATATTCCAATTACAACAGAAATGTTATCAAAAAAATATATTTCATTTTTTCCTCTACCAGTATAACGTTTCTTCTAAAATTTATAAGTTTGCGGTTCTAGAAAACATTACACAGTGGTGTCCATCTCATATGTCAGTTATATAGCTCTAAATATCATTAAAAAAGTTACTTGTATTTGTCGTGGATTGCCTATACATAAAGTTTCAAGAAAACGAGATCACTTTTTGTTATTATTTACCTACAATGCTGTATATGAATACACATATACCCATACGTGTATACTAAAAATAAAATTTGTCTTTATTTCAGAGTCGCTACATTACTGCACTGTACTTTACTTTTAGTAGCCTTACATCAGTTGGTTTCGGAAATGTTGCTCCAAATACTGATGCAGAAAAAATCTTTACCATAATTGTAATGCTGATTGGTTGTAAGTAACTTGAATTTGATACATACAAAAAAAGATTTTAAAATTTTTTAATGTTCTGAACTATGTGGTGCACTAAGCATGTATGTCACTCTCTTTTTAAAAAACGATTGTGGTTGGCATTTTATTTTTTCTGTTAATGAAATAAAAGGTCAGAATAATTCTGTTTTTGTTCTTTGTTATAGCGATGGTTGAGAGGAAGACAATTCCAGCATGACGTCACCCCATTTCAAATAACACGCTAAAATTGTCTTCCTCTTAACCATCGATAAATACAAACAAATAAAGTGCTATTTTCAATGAAAATCAGCTAAATCTAATCTTTTTATAAGACTTAAAATCTTGTTTATATTCTAATTATTCCTCAGTCCTTTTATACTATTACCTTGTTCTTTTTAGTATTGGCAAATGCCGCATGGTATTTCTTGGAAGCACATCTGTAGATTAGCTGAGCTAATTCTAGCACATGGCACGTTAATTTTACTTTTTCTCTACTACTGCATGATACCACACATAGATAGTCGTGGTTACGCATGCTGTGCTAATAAGTTTGTGCCCAAATTTTTTACTTTGCACAGTTGGTGGGAATAAGGTATTTTTGATGTATGAAAAAGAAACCCAACTTTACGATGTGAGGTTGTACAAAAAATTTTCTTATACATGCATATTTTAGGATCATTTATACTCAGCCTGCTAGCTAAGTGATTGCTAGAAGAAGGGTAGTTTTTTGGACGTTTAGCACCCGTGAAGATCATTATTTTTTTTTTTTTTTTATGCTAGACTGTTTGACCACATTTCTTAAAAATTTAGCAACACAACAGCAGTAGTGAACTTACAATAAGACATAAAGAATACAGCATTACAAAATTTACAACTAAGACTGTAGCTATCTTTATTTGTAGTTATCTAAATGTTAATTTTTGTGTTATTCTTAAGATGGCAAAAAAAGTTACTTGAAGTGTACAAGTTTAACAATGTAAAACTTATATAGAAGACTGTGTCTTCTTCGTCCACTCATCCATTTAGTTGACTATGTGGGACTTTATTTTTTCGAAACTTTAACTGGATAGTAAAAACATTCCTAAAAAGTCCTTTCCATTACCTGTGAGGTATGGCTACAAAATAATTTTCTCAAAGAGAAAATATACAAAAATTTATTTATATGTAGACTTTTATAAGACTTAATGAGTAGTTAAAGTAATAAAGTAACAGAGTTCTAACGTTGGTGGAATATTTTTTTGAAAATTTGGAATAAAATAGAAAGTGTTTTCTTAAATTCTTTTTCTATTACTTGTTGCAGCAAAACTATTTTTTTAAGAAGACTCTTACAAAAAAGTCAGCTTCAAATATTGGGGTTGATAAGCGTGTTTTTTTTTTTTATTTCATTGATATAAGTATATTTCATTTAATTTACATGGCTAAGAATACCATTAGTGTTAAATTCTTTATGTATCGACTTTGATACTGCTTTAATCTCGATAAATTTTCCGCGTTATTTTCTTCATGCCTTTAATTGTATTTATTAGATGCATTTAAAGTTTTCCCTTCAATTCAACTTCCTATGATTTTTTAAGTAGTTAAAAACTTTGTAAGCCCTTTGTAAGGCTACATTTTTTTACTTTATTAGGTTGTTATATATTTGGCAAAGTTGTTTGACGTCCGATGACCCTAAAAAGGACTAGTGAGCTTCTTAAGTAAACTCTTTTTTGACTGAAATTGCCAGCAAACGCGATTGCTTCTATACCTCAGAATGATCTACTCTGGCCTGTTATTGTAGCACTACACTAATCGGAAGGAAAACTACTACGTTTGGAGCTTTAAAGCTTGTTGTACAGCTCTTTCCCAACGTCTCCTGGTATAACTTAAAAGTTGTTGGCATCTAAGGCACCTTTTTTTGGAGTCACAGTTGTTTTGATGTTCTAAGGTGAAGAGATTAGTTCATGATGCTTGCCCGTTTATCTCTGTCCCGTTAGCTCAAGTTTATTTTTCCTTTATAGCTGTTAGGTTCTCTAAGCGTAGACCTTGGAGAATCAGTGATTCCTGGTTAAATGCTTAGAGTTCATGGGATAATGGAAAGTCGTCGCCAGGGTTCCCAGCCTTGCGACGAACAACTCCGCTCGTGACGTCTGTCAGTGAATGACTGACTTGGTTTAATAGTGACTGGCTTGACAGTCTTTTAGTCGACGAATAACATCTCCGAAAATGGTAGTAATAATGTATTTGTTAACAAGCTAGTTTAAACCTCGGTGGTCCTTAAAAAAGCCGACGAGATTGATGATTAAGTAGGTAATGTAAATACTTATAATGGCCCTTTTTAGAGGGTGTGGTGAAATTCCCAGTTATTTCTTACTATTTTTCTTGATGACAGAGAGCTAACTGTTGGTAGCTTGACTTTTATCTTTGGAGTCTTTGTGTACGGAGACCATACCGGAGGGAGATATGCCACTGTTCAAAGAATATCTTGTCTTTAGGTGGTTCTTTGGATAATCAACCGCTCATTGTTAGTTGGAAAAGTAGGCTAAAGAATATCTTCTCTATGGTTATGCCGTTGAAATGACCACTGAGAAGGAGGCCGTCGTGGCTGCCTGTACTCCTCAGTCTTCCCTGACTTGAATTTGTTGTAAGAAATTCTTTGATGTCACCAGGGTGAATGGTCAAAATGACCACAAAACTCTAAAGTTTTTAAGGAGGTTGTGCTCTGGCTGGACACGTCTCCTGGTATTCTACCGGAGACGTCATTCCAAACCCCTATTTTTCCGTGGAATTCCGTTATTAGCGACTTTGTTTTATATATTACTAAGATTGTAAGCCGCTACTTGCGCACACGCAGTTGCAAGACATTTCAAGGTTGATTCCATTGATGATTCTAATCCAATACGAAAGTAATAACGGCCATGACAATAGTTAAGCTGCTGCTTCAAACGTGGGTACCCCATTCAACTGTCTTTTCGTCCTTGTTTCTCTTTGATTTACTTTTTAGGCTAGTTAACAGTGGCCTGGCTTGCTCGAGCGTTTTTCACAGTACTTAGTCACCATACTAGATGTTACATTTTTTTGAAATGCATGCTTTTAACACGCAGCTTGATTACCAATATCATTCTTATGTTCGCTTCAGGAGCGCAACACAACATATTCTCCAACTTTCTTAGTTACTTTGAAGCGCTTGATAAAAGAGAAAAGGTAAATAGGAGCATGTACAAAGATCTTTTATACTTAGTTCGCATTGTTGTACGAGGGCATTTGGCCATGATAGTGAGGAAAGATCGTGTTCTTTATTTCTTAATCTTTAACATTAATTAATTACTACTATATTACACAGTACTCATATTCAGGTGACGGTCTAGTTACTTTTTTCCAAAACTTGTTACTAATAGTATACGTTCTCTTGAAAAAAGTTATTCCTTTAAAAATGTGTCTTCTTTTGTTAGCTTTAATAAAAATTAGTTTAAATTGGCGAAATAGGCTCTCAACATTGAAATTAACGATATTTACAAATATTCTTACATTCTTTTTTGCAGACTAAGAAAATGCTCAATTTGATTAGGAAAAGTTTTTAGTAGGGATTTTGTTTTAGCTTCAGAAAGTTTTTCTTACAGGAGGTTCTAACATTTTCATATCAATTTATTACTTAAGCTCGATGATTATTTTTTTTCTTAACTGCATATAACAACCATAACTCTAATGGTGATTTGTAACACAAAAATAATTACTTAACACCCACACATAGAGGAAATTTCAATATGTTTAACGATTTGAAAAACAATGATTTGTCCTCATTTTTTAGAAAATTTGACTGATATTTAACTTCCAGACAACGTTAAATTCATTCTTAGACTTGGCCCTAATTTTAAATTTTTTACTAACCTTACCTAGAATATGACGATAAATTTGATAAAAGTCATTGAGTCAACTTTAGTTTTTAATAATTTAAAAAATGTTATTTCTTTAAAGATTAGACACTCTTGTCTGTCCATTTTTAAAAATCCTATTGTAAATAACAGGAAGTTGTCTTTCTTTGACCAAATTATTAGCAATAACCTCAACTTGATCAGGAAGTCTCTCAAAGAGCATGATGACCTTTTTGTAACTAATTCAGATAAGGGAGGTTCGACAATAGTTATCTATCAAACTGACTATGTTAACAAGGTTGGATCTATATTGGGTGATTCTACTTATTATGAGTTCCTCACTAAGAAGGAGGGCAGCAGAGTTTTTTTTCGGCTAATAAAGTGTGTCAAAAGAAGTTTTGACTTTTGGAAACACAGATGTTTCTTTCTTGCATCACAGATTCCTGAACCTTAACAATTTAAATATAAGTTTCTCATCTCGTGCTTATGGACTGGTCAAGTTTCATAAAGCGGGTCATCTTGGCAGACTTATTGTCTCATCCCTTGGATCGCTTTAGTATGAGCTAGATAAGTGATTTTGTAAGTTTTTTAACAAAATTCTTAATAAGTCTTCTTTTTCTGTTACTAACTCGTATGACGTCAAAAAACATCCAAGAAACATGAGCATTTCTGAGAACTGTTCTTAAGTTTCCTTTGATGTCATCTTTCTCTATACCGACTTATTCTTCAATTTAATGAAAAATTGATAGAACAAAAAATTAGGCTCGTTTCTTAGCCATTGAAAAAAAAAAATTCCTTAGTATTTTTAATTTTCTCATCAATTCTAATTATTTTCATTTTAATAACCAAGTAAATAGACAGAAATGTAGAACCCCAATGGTTAGTTGTTCTTCTCCATTAATCACTGAAATTATTTAAGAATTTTTGGAGTCAACTATTATTTCAAAATGTGGAAATTTCATATGAGCCTATATGCGCTATGCAGATGATTGTCTCATTAAACAAACATCACATATTAAACATATATGAATTTGTTTAATCAATACAATGCGTTCTTACAGTTTAAAGTAGAGAAATAAGCTAATAATTTCATTCCATTTTTAGACATATTAATCACACGTATTCCTGACTCTACATGTGTAATAGACTTACATG